GTGCAACCAACCATAATTTCCTAACATATTCTAAAAAATTAATTTGTACTATATCAAAAAAATTTTTCCACATCTAACAAATTTACTATGGCACTTTTAAGATTCTCAGATGGAATTCATGAAATAATGTCATATTTTCAGAAGGTTGACAGACTGTACAGGATATGTTATTGACAGTAGCATGTTCTGCAACTTAGTGCTAAACTTGCAGTCCAAATTTTTGCAATTATGGGGATCCTTAGGAATTTTCAAAATAGCAATGATATAGGGTTCATAAAATGATAGGATTCTATTTTCAAAAGGCTCATTATTATCTTCAACAATAGATGGGCCAAGCTTTCTTTGACTTTTTGAATATCGTTTTATAGGAAACTCATCCTACCCAGAGCCTTCTCAGATTCCCTAGAATTATCTAATATTTTCTGCAAAGCTAAAGATGCAGCTGAACTCTAAAAAGCTAAAGGCGGGATGAAAAATAAAAAAAAAAGGAAAAAAATATAAAAGAAAAAAGTAATTAAACTGATGAAAATCAAGAGAAATAAAAATTGGCTGGGATGTTCCTAAACCATCATTAAACTTCTATCTCTCTGTGCTGAAAAAAATATCTGCTTCAAAAACAGATTTGATACTTTTTCAATTCAGAATAAATTTCAGTTCAGCAACACCTGGTTCATAAAATATTCTCACCCCACAATCCAATGATAAGGAAAACCTGCAGGATTAAAAAAAAAAGAAAGGTCTTTATCCTTTGCTGTCTCACAAATTTTGTTGATTATTTGAAAAGCAAATCATGGAAGACCATTGATTCCCCCACCCTCCAATTCTAGTGACATTATTTGCCTGAGAGCTGCAACACTCATATTGTTTCATATTGTTCTCCTGAGGAACTCTTCCACAAATGAATTTAGTCCTCAGTGAGATTGAGATACTGAAGCTGCTACAATTTCAGCAGCATAACCTTCTTCAAGGGATCAGAACAGAACAGAAAGATACGATGAAAGTAAAAAAAATTGCTTACCAATTATTTTTTAATAAGCAAACCAATTGTATTTTTTCCTCCCTCATACACAGGGAGGAAAAAAATGCTATAGTTAACACCGTGCCATCCAGGCTGGAATTTCTGAGTAGCCTTAAGTACACTTGTCCACCCAGGTGTAACTGAAACTCTGCCGCCATGATTTTGCTGGGCTTCAGCTTTCATCATCAGCCTTTCTTTCTTTCTTTCTTTCTTTCTTTCTTTCTTTCTTTCTTTCTTTCTTTCTTTCCTATACTTCAGCCAAGCTAGTCTCTGATACTCTTCCTGTCGTCTGCATCCTTAGGGTCTAGAACCCCTTGCCTCTAATTTCAGGTCTAAATCCCCAGCATCAGAGTGGGGAATAATAGCAGATACATTTGGCCTTTCAGGCTTGGCTCCTCTGTATCTGGAATATCCAGTTTCTCAGTCTGGTCTTCTTCTGAAGATGCTGGCATGGCAGGCTGGGCCCTGTTTGGCAGTCTGTTAGTCTTTTGAAAATATTTTTGTTTTGGCAAGACATTCAGGTGACCCCCCATGTTTAGCATATTACCTAAAATTATTACAAAGGTCTAAAAATCTCATCTGAATCTGAGGCTGAAGAAGGAGGCCAGCTGGATGGTCAGCTGAGGCAGCCAACAGGCAACTGGAGAGCTGAGCCAGCAACCAGAGACAATGACAACAACTCCCCTAATTAAGCCATACCAGCAACTGGGGCTGTATAAAAATATCCTCCGGGTCTTTTTGCTTTTTGTGGGAAACAGTTCTCCTGCTTCAGACCTGTGTTTCTGTGGTATCCTGCTCTAAATTCTTCTTGTTCCTCGCCCTGTATTTTGACCCCTGGCTTGACTCTTTGTATCTTCTGTAGAACACTACGGCCACAGACCTTTAGATTATTCCTGTATTGTTGCCTGTGAATACCTCTTGCTAGCAGTTTGCAAACTACTTAAGTCCAAGGAAGATAAAAACTCTGTACTCACCAAGGCTTAATTACTCTCTGTCTATATACTTGCCTTATTACCAGCTACTAACAAAAGGCTTATAATATGACAATAACTTATCTCAGATTCTCCCGGGGGTGTGGGATTTTGCAGTTCTTTTATTTATATAAAATTGTTTAAAAGTTAGGTTTGGGTTTCAAACTCCTATCCCATATTGCTATATAATTAGCTGTGTTTATCCCTGCCATATGTTTAGTTTTCCCCATTTTTATTGAGAGAAGATGCATTGCTCATAAAAAATTCTCTTGCAAGTGTCTTACTAGTGACCAATAAACTTAATTCTTCAACATCATACTGAATTTCTGCTAGAAGGAGAAGAAAACCTGCACTTTCCATAGAACTAACAGCTGTCATGCTATATATTAATTTTTCTTCAGAGGGAATTATGATTGGCGATTTCTTTAAAAATAGGTTTTATTCCTGTTTCGCATTACTTATCTTTCATGTATATTATTACTCCACAAACTTTGCCAAATTTAATTTTTTAAAAGATTTATTCCAATATGAAGTATTCATATATTATTGTTGCAGATTACAAATATAGTGTATATAACATATATTATTAATATAATCAGGTTAATAAGTAAACATCCATGGGAATATTATGCCTTAAATATATCCAATTAATTATGTAGGATTTATGATATTTTTATAAATTATATATTTCATAGTTATCAGGTACTTAGCTGAGAGCCAGTCTCTGAACAATCAGATTTCTATTAATACTACAGTTTATTTGCCAAGACATTGCTATATTATTTATTTATTTATCAAATTTCTCCCCTGCCCATCTCCCCCCAATGGGGGAACTCTGGGCGACTCACACAGAACATTAAA